GGGGTGGTGGTGGAGAAAAAAAAATGACAGCAGTGTGACCGATAGCACAGCAGCATAGCTTCTGCCAGAATGGTGAAATCTAGACCTTTGGGTGACCAAACCAATGAAAGATTCTATGTCAACAAATGGACTACAGGTCACAGACGTTAACACTGTCTAAAAATGATCCTGGGATTCTTCATTCAAGAGCTAGCTTTTCTTTTCTGAGGAGCAGTAGGAAATCAAGGATGGATGGAAAAGTTGTACTGAAGGAAGAGATCTCTAGGAGTTGAGTTTCACAGGGGAGGGGTTTTGCATTAAAGGGCTCCTCAAAAAGTGCCAGGACCCAGACAGTTAGCATCCCAAATCAGCAAGTCTATTTAGCAGACCCCACTTTGCTTCTTCCTCATCCATCACTTCAGATGCTGACAGGCAATAGGGATATTTTCCCTTTTATTCTTTTTAATTTTTTTTCTTCCTGGGCATGCTGCCAGCTCTTGGTCATTGTGTCAATGGAGAAGCACAGAGCTGCTAGCCATTCCTTGTGCTGGGTCCCCAACCTCACTGATGAGGGAACAACAACCAATTCAATTTTCTTGGCTTAGAGGTGCCAGCACATGTGAATGAAGCTGGCCACTCAAAGACAGAAGTGTGCATAGTTGAAAAACTGGCAAACAAGCACCAGTAGCAGGGATTCTTAGAAGAGGGTTTGGCAGCAGAGGAGGAAATTTTTTTCAAAACAGAAGCTTATAGTCCTGGAGTAGGAAGTGCAAGTAGAAGGAGCAGAAAGTACAACTGAGCAGTATCACACATCCCTTCAAAATGGGATCACCTAAGAAAGGAGTTGTAAGTGTAGTTCAGCTTTTACTATGCCTCTGGCTCTGGTTATGAAAGATTTCTTGTCTCCTTCAAAGTAAGAAAACTACAAGACACAAATCTTACTCTTTTTAGGCTGTTTTTTATAAGTGGATTTTAGTAATAGGCTGATTTGATGTAGAAGAAAAGAGGAAAGCGTTGTTTAGAATACTACATTTACTGATTCAGCTAGAACTGATTTGTTATTGGCTTATCTTGAAAAGTTTGGTTTAGCTGATTGTTGGGAAATGATTCTTCTTCAAGTCTTGCTGTAATGTACTCTGCTGGGTATAAGTTAATAGATTATTTTACTTGATAGCTTCCAGTTAAAAGGATTGCCTTTGGCCCAGCCTTAAAATGACAGCTATGATAAATGTTACTCTTTTCAGTCTCCTTGAATGTTGGTCTAAGTGAGCTGAGTCATAAAGCTGCCCTTGTCTTTGTCAAAAAGTCAATATCTTTACAATATATTAACACTAATAGCTCTGGGGCTACCTGACTAGAAGTACATACTGATGGATCTAAATGCCCTTAGTCTAGGGAAATAGCTTATGCTTTACGTTTTCCCGAATTTGGCATTTGTAAAGGTTACATATTAGAGGAAATCATATGAATTGTCTTGGTTTAATTATTTAATCATTTTTCTTAGCATAAACTGGACTGCAGAAACACACATAATTGAAAAGGGAAGTATGTGGTAGCTATAAGGTCATAGATCTGGGCCGTGCTACATGACCCTGAAAAACAATGCCCCTGCATCTTTGGCCAAAGACAGTTAGAACCTAAAAAGGAGAGGAGTACTATACATAGGCTTGAACTTCACACAAATATTATGCATCACAACCAGATGATGTGTCCCCATCAAAAATCATTAATTATGCTGTTTGGCTTATGTTCAGCAAGTGCCACTAAATGTTAGAAGAATTCAGCTTTTGTTTTTTTTAATGAAAATGAGACATGAGAGTCCATATTTAGCCTTGAAATAACTAGACATTTCTTAGTCAAGTAAGACCTGCTAATATTAAAAATAAACTTAAGCCAATAAGCACAAGCAGTATCTGACATTCTTATGTTAATAGTCTTAACCACACTTCTCAAATTTCAAACAGAAGTCCATAAAAATCTTTCTCTGTTTTAGTTTGAGAAAGCAGGGGTGCTGTTTGTGACTTCTAAGGGAGAAGATGAGTGTTACTGACCTGTGGTATCTGTTTGAACAGCAGCATGTAAGAACACTTCTAAGCCTGAGATCATCAATATAACTATCATCTTATAGATGGCATAGTTTTCAGATGTGTGTTAACTGTTCTTTGCATTGCAAATGTGTGTGTCATTGCTTATTAATTACCGACATAAAATAATACCTGATGTGAAATTACATTAAAAAGTACTGATGTGAAAATTGGTTAGTTTCTTCCCTTGGCTGAGGAAAATACAGATACAGAATTTTGCATGTGAAACTGCTTTTTTTTTGATAGGGCAGAAGAATCTGGCTCTTTAAATCTTTACATTTAAGTCTCTAAATCCCTTTAAAGCTGTGGTGTAGGATACAGGGTCAAATATACAGATAGCAGCGGAATATTGATGATTTATTCTAAATTCTTTCATTTTCATGTAAACATTAGCTACTGCAATGTAAAAAATAACTCCCAACATTTCAGACAAAATACAGTACTAGAGAGCGTAACTTTTAAGTTCTTGGGACAAGTTTCTTTGTCTCTTCCTTTGTCTGAATGCTATGAAAATATGAATTTGTGAAGATATCTAAATACTCAATTCCAACTTCTGTGAAGAGATCAGCACTGATTAAGTCCTAAGGAGAAATAGATTAGACTCCTAAGGAGCAGAGGAAGAGAATAAGTATATATATAATTAAGTGTTGACAGATTTAAACTTGGAAACTGAAGTAGAATCCAAAGCTCTTTTTTTGCCTACTTTTTTCCAAAAAGAAAGGCACCAGCAATACTGATACAGACCATATACTTAGTTTCTCTGAATAGGATCAAAGCAGCCCAAACTTCTAGCAAAGAGCTGTCCGAGGTCAACGTTTGTATTTTTCATGGATCAGTGAAAAATACTTCTTGTGTCTGACATCCCTCCTGCCCTGTCCTTGGCTGCCCCGGATGGTGCCATTGAAAGAAATGACCCCATTCTCTTCCATTCTCTTCTGGAGGGGTCTTTCTCCTAGATTAAGGGAATAGTATCACTGCTGGAGCTTCAACTTAGAGAGGATTTAAACCCTTCTGCTCTTTTTAGAGGTTTATGTCCTGCGGTAGAAGTTGGCTGTTCATTACAAATAGGTGTTAGAGTCATGAAACAGCCACAGAAGAAAGGGAAGAATAACCTTGTAGTTACATTACATTCCCCACTCAGGTCCTTTTGCCATTTCTAAACGAGAAGGCAATAATATTCAATTACACAAGCACATGCAGTGTTGTGAGGATAACATCTACATTTGTGAGGAACAGGAAGGTGCTCAGAAAGAAGGTCTGCCTCTGGAAGTATGAGGCATTTGTGGTGCCCAGATCGTGGCAGGTTTAACCTGGTCAAACACCGAGTGTGAAGGATGATCTTTGCACAGTAGGATGTAGCCCTGTTGTTATGGATGCATTAAGCCTCACCGGTCTGTAAAGGCAGAGTTTGGTAAGCACTTATTTTGACAGTGGATTTTAGAACTCCACCCTCACTTCAGTAAAATCTTCTCAGCTGGGGCAAGGCAACTGCTTATGAGGCCACATAATTAATTGTTCCAGTGAAAAATACCTCAGCCAGAAGAAAAGAGGAAGGTTTTTTTTATGACTAAGTACATGAACCAGCAAAACTGGCTAGTGTAGCCAGCATGTCTGATTCAAGAAATGCTTGTCAAGCTACACCCCAGTGCCGTGGCCGTCCTTATCATCAAGAACTGCCAAACCACCTCTTTCATCATTGCTGACTCCCATTCTTGATTTCTGAGAACAGGGCAATGAGTGCATGAGGACCTGAAGCCTGAGGAATCCTCCAAACAAATTTCTGTGCTGCCATTCCTCACTGTTGCCTGTGGAAGAAATGAAAATACGCCAATGATGTAAGGGTCCGGAGCTGAGCATCCACGTTGTAGACAGCCCTCCTTAATGTGTATGCACAAGATTTAGTTAAGCTACTGTTCAGTTATTTAAATAAAACATATCTGTATGTTTTTAGTAATATGTCCCAATTATTTTTTATACTTTTTTTGAGGACTACTGCAGTGTTCCATGACTAATTTCAAGTGTTGAGAAAAACTCTATCTTCTTAATTTTCATTTTTTTTCTCTTCCAAGTCCTAATTCTCAATTTTATAAAAATTCTTAATATCCTCACAGCCTGTTTATTGATGTTCTAATTTGTTTGTTAGTGAGTTAGCCAAATAAGCTGTCTGAACACATTTCCAAGCGTATTCGGAAAATTTCCTTTGCTGTGTTGTGTATAATTAGGCTTGGCAGAACTCAGATTCCGTAATGACAGTTTCCATTGCAGAGGAATCAGGGACAAAATAAAGAGTCCGTCATGTGTCACTTTGCAGAGT